TTCTTTGCAGCAATTCCTCTTTTTGTTTGATGAACATAGAAACATGTTTTTGCTTTGTAGATCCTTTGGCAGCTCCAGAATCGGAAATTCTTTTTGACATAATCGAAAGTTCAGCCTTACTTTTATAAAACTGCTCTAACAGTCTGCAAAAAATAATAAGCCGGATCCAATTCGAAGATTAAGGAACAATGCAATCTGCAACATTAACTGAAATAGATAATTAGATAACTTTAGCTTAGCTTATACCGTCCGTTACGCGCATGCGTAAACATATTATGTGCATGTGTAAAGGTATTATGCGCATGCATGAACGCATTTACGCATGCACAGAAAGTTTGTAGCTTTGAGGTCCGGATTATAGATCATTCTGGATTATGGACGTCCGGATTATAGATCATTCTGGATTATGGACATCCGGATTAAAGACTTTTGTCTGTAGTTGAATATTATGGAAACCCTATTATGACGTACTCAGTTACATGATTGTGGTAAATTTGGAATTATAGGATGTTTTGTAAGGGCTTGTCGTGTATATTGGTTAGGAAATACATTGCTTGTTTTGTTGTAAAGATGGTAGAATGGCTGAATGTAGTAAGATTAATTTGAAGTTTCTGTATGATTTAGAACAAAAGGGAAAAAGCATTAATTGACTGGTGTGTAAATGAAGGTTTATTTAGTAGCCATTTTCCGGACAGTCCGGAACTACAGAGGTTATTTTTTACTCTTGTTTTTGTGAATTTATGTGGTATACGTTATACGGATTCAAGTTTAGATAATTTTAGGAAGTTTTTGAATGCTGTTAAAAAATTTTGTATGCCACAGACTGAAGATGAAAAAACTTTTAAATAAAGATACGTGGATATTTGCTTTGTGTAGTGCTTAGATGCATAACAGGTTTTTCCTTTTTTTATGTTGTCTGGTTTAAAATGTAGTTTATTGAGATTATGTACTTTTTTTTTGCCTCTGCTGTAGAATTAGGTGCTCCTTTGACTTTTTAAGTGAAAATACAGTCAAAAGTCGTTAATTCGGACACCCATAATCCGGAATGATCTATAATATGGACCTCAAAGCTAAAATCTTTGTGCATAGGCATTTACACCTGCGTGCAAGACCTTTACGACTGCGCATATGCGTCTGCGCAAGCGTAGAATACGTTTTCGCATGCGTGTTTAATGTATAACGGACGGTATAAGCTAAAATTATCTAATTATCTATTTCAGTTAATGTTGATGATTGTGTTGTTCCTTAATCTTCGAATTGGATCCGGCTTATTATTTTTTGCAGACTGTAAGATCAATTTTATAAAAGTAAGCTCGAACTTTCGTTTATGTCAAATAGAATTTCCAATGCTGGAGCTCCCAAAGGATCTACAAAATGAAAGTATGTTTCGATGTCCATAAAACAAAAAGTGGAAATGCTACAAAAAATGGATAAAGGCATATCCTTTGTTTATCTAACCATTCCAAAATCTGTTTATCAATTTCACGCTGCTCTGCGCGGGGAAGGGAGGACGTCGCGGCACGCAAGAAACTGGAAGTTCATCTGTCAGCACTATCGTTATCTTCAGGGCAGATGTTTTTATTTTATTTAGCTTATAATTTTTTACTAAATGTAGTATTTCATCTTGATGTACTCCATCTTTTATATGATTTAAATCAAATTCCTCGTCATTATAAATATCACAAATACAAATCAAATAGTTTTCTGGTTGCAATTTTCTAATTTCGGCTATGCGTAATGTATGCTTTACGCATGCGCACGTTGAAAGAAATGTTTAATAAAGTAAACAAATAAATATTAAGCTTCCTTTTTTTTTGTAAATTTTGATTCCCTTTAGATCATAATTGCTCATTATTTTATAAATTATGGTTTTATATTTTTAATTTTATAATTTCTGCATGCCATCTTACCAGATTTAAACTGATGACCTATAATCTGGAAAAATCGATAATCCGGAATCGCTGAAGTCCCGACGAGTCCGGATTAAAGACTTTTGACTGTATATCAATGTGCACATGGACAAAGACAAGGAAGTGCGCAATGCCAAGTTTGTACAATTCTCCAATTTTTTTTAAGTGAAAATATGTTGACGTGTACATGGATAAAGTCAAGGGAATGCACAATGACTGGCTTGTGCAATTCTGTAATTTTTTTTTCAAGTGAAAATAGGTCAATGTGTACATGGTTACTGAGTTTCTGCAAGTCTCTGACTAGTTATTTTGTCTTTGTGTAGCGGTGATTTTGGTGCTAAACTCACTGCTACACAAAGGCAAAATAATAAGTCAAAAAATTGAACAAACTCGGTATTCATGTATCGCCAATATTCACCAAGGGGTACCCATAAATATACATTTATCTAAAATACGTAGGATTTTATGAACGAAATGAAGTTTTTTATTCTTCTATCAAAATCTTATATAATTTTAATTGTAGGTTTTGATATTCAAGCTGATAACACATAAAATACCGTAATTTCCGGTAGAAACGCCGCAGCGTTTACATGTTTAAAACTTAAATTTTCAGCGGGTGCGGCGTTTCTACCCATGCGGCGTTTAGGTGCACTAAAAATAAAATATTTCCTTTGATGGTCATTGTGCATAGTTTGAATAACTTTTTCATTGTACATAGTTTGGATGGCGTTGTCATTGTACATAGACCACTCAGTTGTTCCAACACAAAAGACACTCAGTTGCTTTTTGCGAACGTTATTTTGTTTACGTTCTTTCCCTTGAACGGACCTACATGCCTTATTCACCCTAAACGGGATCTCAGAACAATAACATTCTTCCCCCTTTGAAATCATTATTCTCATCATTTTGAATAGTCTCTCTCCTCTGCCATTCGATGAATCTTCCGGGAACCATCCTCTCTCCACCCCTGCCTTTTCTGCAATTTTTTTCAAAGGCGGACACGACTCCACCTGCCTCGCAATAACGAACTCTGACCTATTTCCCCTTCAGCATGAATCGATTTTTCTTGACATTCTGCCAGATACAGATCCCATCAGTTTGGGTACAAGTACTTGTTGGATAGTTTTTAACTTAACTTGTTGGACAGTTTTCAACTTTAAGTACAAATAATTGTTGGATAGTTTGTAAGAGAGGAAAATTTTTTTAAATGGCACCTAAACGGCACAGAAGCTATACTGCTAGTTTTAAGCTTAATGTAATTTCACGTGCTGAACAAATTGGAAATAGAGCAGCAGCTCCAGAGTTTGATGTGGACGAGAGATGTATTTGACGTTGAAGAACTGAAAAGGAAGAACTTAAAAATATGCGACAACAGAAACGAGCCAAAAGAAGTGGTACTATAAGGTGGCCGAATCTAGAGGACGACCTTGCAAACTGGATAAAGGAGCAACGAAAAAAAGGAATGGCAATTTCAACTGTAAAAATTCACTTATAAGCAAAATTTATAGCAAAGCAAATGAACATAAAGGATTCCAAAGGAGGGCCTTGCTGGTGTAGCAGATTTATGAAAAGAAAAAATATTTCTGTGCATACTAAAACAACAGTCGGGCAACAATTACCAATGGACTGGCAGGATAAAAAGGCATCTTTTCTAAAATATGTGACAGATATTATTGACAAAAGAAAACTTCTTCGGTCACAGATAATAAATATGGATGAAATGCCGCTAGCTTCCGACTCTCCTGCAAACAGAACTGTTGATGAAACTGGTGCAAAAACTGTATCTGTGCTTACGACAGGGCATGAAAGAATGTCATTTACATGTGTGTTAGCTTGTGCCACAAACGGTGACAAGCTAAAGCCGATGATAATTTTTAAACGGAAAACTATTCCGAAGGAAGATTTTCCTAATGACGTAATTATTTGTGCAAACGAGAACGGCTGGATGTGCGAAACAATCATGCATGAGTGGCTACAGAAAGTTTGGCAGTATCGTAAGGGATCTTTTTTCCAATCAAAAGGGTTATTGATAATGGATTCCATGCGTGCTCATTTACTTGAGTCAGTGAAAACCAGATGTCAAAAATTGTCTACGACCGTAGCAATAATTTCCTGGTGGTTTGACAAAAATCTTACAACCATTAGATTTGTCAGGTAATAAATCTTTCAAAGCTGAATGTCCGAAAGCGGTGGGAGTGTTGGATGAGTGAAGGATTGAATACGTATACCAAAAGCGGCAAAATGCGTAGAGCATCTTATGAAGAAGAAGTTGCAAAGTGGGTAGGAAATGCGTGGAAATCGGTAAAAACATCGTCAAGTAATAGCAGGGATTCAAAGAAGCTGAAATTATATCCTTTAGATAAAGAGACTGTAAAAACCAAGAGGATGAATGTGACGATCTGGAAGACTCTGGACTATTTAGATCAGGATTTACTAAATCTTTTTAATTCAGAAAGTGAAGAATCTAATTTTGATGGCTTCATATGATGTATAGTTTGCTGTAATTCCTTTTGTAAGTAAAATTTAAAATTTCCTTTTGTAATCCAAATTTAATAGTTCGTTGTTGCAACATTTTTTATAATATAGTCTGAGTATTACAAATATGGTCTTCTTTAGTGGGTATATATAAGTATATTCGTGAACACAAATATATTTTCAACATTTCTTACCTTTAATTTATTTTTGAGTTATGATTTCATTTCATGCAATTTTCTTAACTTATATGTCATATATCAAGACATAGATTGAGATTTTGCATCTATATGGCCCACGACAATGTCACGCGCAATTAAATCTATTGCGACGTTTACGCAGATGCAGCGTTTCTGTGTAATTTAAATTTTTTCCCCGCCATTTTTCTCGAGTGCGGCGTTTACGCTGATGCGGCCTTTCTTCCGAAAATTACGGTAACTGTTTTTATAATTTTAGACTGAAAATTTTTTTCTCTATTTACATGTTTATTCTACTGTGTATTGCATTTTATATATGCTCAAATATTATAGTCAAGCTTTTAATATACTAGTGTTAGTCTTAATTAAATAGGCTTCATACAAGAACAAAAACAAAGATGTCTATAAAGTAAAAACTTACTCCTTTCTCCCATCTTGAAGAAGCTGTTTTGCTAGTTTGCGTTCTGATTCCAGAGTATTTAGCAGTCTTTTCTGATACTGTTTCAATTTATCTCTCTGTTGTTTCAATTGCTAGATTGAAAAATTTCAAATTAAGAACAAACACTTTTAGCAACATACTGAAAAATAAAAATCTCTAAAAATACAGCTTAAATAATAATAATAATAATAATAATAAAAAAAAAAAAAAAAAAAGGAAGATATTTCCAATGATTAATTTCTTCTCTCCTGGATCAGCTCTTGCTAAGCAGAACAGAAAGTGGATCAGAAGATAATGCAAGTCACTTAACATGTTAATTACCAGGTCAAACAATACAATTTTCTGTGACAATAAAAATATTTACTAGTAACAGCGCACAAAACTACATGCAACTGCTTATAAGTAATTTACCCAATCAAATTATCAGATATCTTTTGCTACAAGAAAGCATAGCTTTTCCTAAACATTAGAAACGGGTCTTTTAGATTAATTATTTCAATAACCAAAGCATTAAAACTGAATGATGCACTTTAAAAATAAGAACATTCTTATAAAATATAAGAACAATACATTTAATTTCAAGGTGGCTACCGAGCAGAATATCAGCGAAGATCTATTCAGATAGGTTTTCGTCTTTATTTTAGTCCAATTTATCTTTCATATCTTTATCTCTATTATCTTTATCTGCTGTTGCAATCATATGGCATTTCTAAGTTTTAAAAACATCTATAAGCTGCAGTTTCAAGAATGGAGTTTTTTGGAGTTTACAGTTTGATCAGAAGTCTATAGGATCTACCGAACAATGTAGGCAATTGTATTACTTTCTTACAATAAGATGATTGTTTTCATAATTTTAGACTAAACATTTCTTCTATTCATTTGGCCTTTTTGCTACGAATTGCACTTTTATATGTTAAAATATTTGGAGTTTTCACTTATCCAGCTTTCTGCATCTTTCTAGCTTTCTAGATAGTTGAACTTTTACTATACATATCTATATATATTAATCTATGGGTAATAACAATGGCTACCTTTTTAGTACTTATAATTTTACCTTTTAGAATTTTTCAATTTTAAAATAATATTTAATCCATCGGTGAGTAACCATCAATATTCCAATTTGCACATAATGAAGTCTTCTTTGTGTCAATCCAAAGGTTCATGTTGATGTTCAAAAGACATGGAATCTGTGGGAAAGTGAGTTGGCAACTGTTTCCCAGCAAGTAGATTGTTCTATGCTGTTGCTGCTAGATTTTACTACTGCTGGTCTAAAGAAATGACAGGAATAAAATTTTGCCTGGAAGAACTCGATATGCATCTATGAGATGCAGAGTCGTGGAAATAAAAAAGGAATAGGTGGTGAAGGCTTAACTTTAGAGACTGATGAAAGCTTGCTCTCAAAAAGAAAAAAAAAAAAAAAAAAAAAAAAAAAAAAAAAAAAAAAAAAAAGATTACTGTGTTTTTTCGTCTTAATGGATTTTTTGTTGTTTTTGTTGGGAAATCATGAACTCTTCTCTTTACCTTGCCCAACCAAAAAGCCATAACTTCATTAAATGCAATCAAGGAAAATTTAAAAAAAGGAATGACCATTTATTCTAATTCCCAGGCAGCCTATAAAACAGAACTGCAAAAAGCTGGGTTTGAACTTTTCAAAATGAATCACAAATTGAATTATGTTCATGCACAAAATATCAAGTGGATATGGGGCTCTTTAAAATAGTGGGAAAAGAAACATATGATTACAATAAGAAGACATTTGATGTCGCACTTAGTGGAGTTCAGGTATCAGCAAAGAGTTGTACCTTAAAACTAAAAACCCTCTAAAGCTATTTTAGAAGTAATTACCAAACATTTTCCATCCAAAATAAAAACCTAATTGCATCAAATTATTTCCAAAGTAAGTCAATTCTTCTCTACTAAGCTACAAGAACCAATAAAACTTATACAAGAGGCATTTCTGAAAAATTTGAAGCTCTCCTGAAAATAAATGAAATTGGCATAACTGATAGGAAAGTGAATTTCATTATACACTAAATGTGTTATACTAACAAATACATTAAATTTACTTGATTTATGGTAATTTTCAGACAACTGACTCTTGGTAACTCATTTTCAGAACTTGGGGTAAGTCATGCTAAACAGTGTAGTGACCCGCAATGAGCAATAAAGTTTCACGATAAATACTGTATAAGCTATTTTCATAAACATTTAGGTTGATTTTTTATTTTTTTGTCATAGCTAATGCACTTAATATTTTATGTACAGTAAAAATTGAAAACATTAATAAATATAAATTAAATTAACTAAGTTTACAAATAAACAATGAAATTAAAGAAAATGTAATATTAATTAAGAAAAAGCATAAATAACATCCAAAAGAAGAGCTATAAATGAAATATCCATAAAGAGCTATAAACATGCTGTCAAAAACTGCAACAAGGCATATTTGATTTGATGTCATGTATATATTAGCTCAAAAGGCAGGCCTATATCTAAACCAATTAAAAATAAGCCTATATTTATATCTAGAGCAAGGATAATCTAATTTTAGGTTGGTTCCTAGCAGAGCTCACACCCTTGATGCACCCACTTATATGGCACGTATCGATGTGTACATGGACAAAGTTAAGGGAGTGTGCAATGCCAAGTTTGTGCAATTTTGGGATGTGTCTTTAAATGTAAATAGGTCGATGTGTACATGGATACCGAGTTTGTGCAATTTTTTGACTTGCTACTTTCAAGTTGGCAATTTTGAGAAACACTCAAAGCAGTGGGTGATTCTGCACTTCCCCAGTTTGTCGCCAAGGGTGTGTGCTCTCCAAGGATTTTACAATAATTTTATTTAATAATGATGTGTGTGTTCAATAATGATGAACTGCACACTAATTACTGTATTTGAATTTTTATGTGTGTGATTATGGCAAAGCCTCGAGGGCTATCTGCCTAAAGGGAGGGATGCCTTTCGTGGAGGACTTTCTAAGGGAAACTGGCTCGTATACACGTTACACATGGGGAAAACCACGAAAACGCCCATGCAGCCAGCCCGTTCGCGGGATTAGAACCTCGGACCGAACTACCAGTGTTCAGCGACTTTACCGCTCGGCCGCTGGTGGGCCTACTGTATTTGAAACTGTATTTGAAATATGTTATCTGTTAATTATTTTGAGAGTATACTTTAAGTTTCATTCGGATACACTTTATTAAACTTTCAAAAAATTCGCTCACGCAGTACTTATTTTATAAAATATTGCGACCATGTTTTATAACTGATTTAAACATTTAAACGAAACTGCACCTACTTTATTTTTAAAACCTGTTCTTTTATGAAATGCAATTTTATGTTTTTAACAGTGGCTGAAAGTGAATTAAAAATAATTAAATATTTTCTCCAATTAATCAACATTATATTCGGATCGAAGCAGACGAAAAATGTTTAGGTTTCTGAAAGAAATAATATAAAATAATAAAACATGCATACCAGTACAGCTTTATCTTGTTCTGATACACGAGTGACTTTTTTTTTTGGTTTTCCGAATAAAATCCCCATTTTCTTTTAAAAATAGAAAATACAAAACACCGAAATCAAATTAAATATCACCATACAGTCAAATGTACGGTTTTGCAATCGAGCTACGTCTTTTAGCCTGTTATAAACGAAAATAACGAAATGCACCAAAAAATGCAGAAGGTTCGGAGAACAGCCTTAACGCCAAAACGGGGAGAAACAGCTTATTATGATAGACCCAACGACTTCTTTATTATCTCGTTGGATAGACCACGTTATGGTTGTCATCCGATGACGTACTTCTTCTAGGAGGACAGCGTGATAATTTTTCCCTGCTGAGGGATTATCCGTAGCAGCAGATCGGGATACGTATTTGAAAAATATTATTATGTTTGCTGTTTGCTTATCAAGCAAAGAATATTAAATTAGAAATAGCACATAATTGAATAGAATATAAAATATTGATACTTATATGCCGTCAAATACGGTAATTATTTGGGTCACATCAAATTGCAGTACAAAATTTCGCCCAAAAAACTTCTAAATTAAACCTCATGAAGTTATAAAGCTAAATATAAATGTTATTCACAAATATATGACTGTCCGAGAAGGAAACCGGAGGTAAGGAACTTGTAACTAAACGATCACAATGATTTCCAATTTGTTCCTTCGTTACTAGAAAAAGGAATTTCTAACATTATGTGGCAACAGTATTTGCCATTGTAAACAAGAAATCAAAACCGTTCTGTGGTGGAAAGCTTCAAAATTGTGAAATGGGTTTGTTAACAATATTAAAAAAAATGAAGCAGAAGGAGAAAGAAATGCGTCTATTAATGCTGTATCCTTTTCATATAATTGTATTTTCCTTTTCTGTTGCTTTATAGGTTTTCAATCGAGCCAAGAAATCTTAGCATTCCATAATATTGTGCACCTGTAACAAAAAATTTAATTTTCATTCGCAGTATGTGCTGGAAAATAAATTAAGCCACCAATCAAACCCTAAGCTGCTAAAAAAATATCCATGAGTGAACGTTTTAGATTATAATATAACCCATAAGGCTGTGAGTGTCGTAAATTTGGTACATGATGAACTTTTTAAAAAAAGTACCTGTTTATTTTGAAGCATGAAATATTCGTGTACGTGAAAGATTTATAGATCTTAAACGGTAATTTGTATTAATTTATTTGCTTTGTAAGACTCTTCTTTTTTTCATGGTAAAATATTTTTCTTTCTTTCCATGATCTCATTTAAAATAAGTATTACAATTTAAAATTAGTAATCACGTAAATTCTGACATTAGTTTCGTTTGAAATATCATCGAAAGCATTTTAAACGGGACTGGTGGTGAAATGGATTTACGTAGAAATCTATCATTTTTATATTTTACTATAATGTGTAACGACACTCAGGATTTTGATTTTGTCATAGAAGTGAAATAATGGAACAGGGAGAAAGTGCAGAATCACCCACCGCTTGGCGTGTCTTTAAAAATTGCACATAACCATGTACACATTGACCTATTTTCACTTAAAATCCCAGAATTGCACAAAAATGGCACTGCAAACTCCCTTTATCTGCGAGCACATTGACCTATTTTCATGTAAAAAGTAAAAGAAAATTGACAAAAAACCAATTCTTCTTACCCTTATAAAAAGCGACAAACAAATAAGTAGGTGATTCTGGTCTTTACTGTGAAACAGTAGATCCTGCATCCAAAATGAATCTGAATGAAATTCAATACACCATTTCTGTTATTTTAACCATTTCTATGAGAATTCATGATGGTTTTCCCATATATACTTGATAAAATACATCAGTGGATTATGTAGGATGGATTTTGCTTAGGTAACCTAAATATAATAAGAAGAGACATGTGAACCTAAATGTGATAAAAAGAGACGTATGAACCTAAATGTAATAAGAAGAGAGACAAGTGCATGTGACACTTTATTGCAATCACAGTGTGGTTTAGCAAGGGAGTCAGGATTATTTTTATTACTGTTTATGTTTTTAACACTATATGTATCATTTTATATTCAAGAATGGTCAGACTTCCAGTGGTCATTTTAAAGATAGCTCATAATAATAAAAATATGTTACAAAATGATTTTTCTAAATATTTCCAATCTTATTTTTAATCTCAGAATGAGATCCTATGTAATAGCAATAATATATATTTACCTTTAAGATTACTGTGAATTTAGAGCCTATATAATAAATTATATAATCAAAATGATCTGAATGTTTATCACAATTATAGCATATTTGAGTATTTTTGCTTTTTATGGCATATTTATTTAGCTATGAAATAAGCTTCAAAATTATATTATCATATAAAAATGCTGTTTTCTTTAAAATGTGTAGCCTTTAATTTTAGCACTCAGTACTGCATATATGTAGAGTTATCAGACTTCATTTTCAAGGATTAAATTAACTCCCAAGAGTTTTCAAAATCAGTGCTAATGTCCAGAAATGAGACTTGTGGGTTTTAATTTTCAAAAATGGAATTTAAGTTCTGTAAGAAGAGAGTCTGGATGAGGAGAATAAATATTCATACATATTGCATAGAAACTGGATGCGTAGATTGAACCATTTAAAGAATTTTTGTGTTTCGAAAGGTGACAGTTTCACTAGTCCTGTGATCAAAGAAATTCGGGTACTATTCGGTTTCGAGGGCCGTAAAAAAATTGCAGCGAAAATGTATGTGCAAAAGCACCAAATCTAGCAAGCGTGCCTATTTAACAGCATGCCAAATCTAGCGTACGCATTGATTTCAGATTGTGTAAGTTTATATAGTTCTATATTTCTTAAGACGCCATTGAAATACTAATTTAATTTTTAAATCCTTTTTTGGTATCCTATAGATTTAACAATTTGGAAATTGCCCATGACGAAAAGTCGGCAATAGAATTTTGGGTAAAGTGCGGAATCGCCCACTGCTTGACGCGATTTTAAGAATTGCACATATTCGGTATCCATGTTCACATCGACCTATTTTCACTGTAAAAAAATCCTAGAATTGCACAAAAATGGCACTGCACACACCCTTGACTTTATCTATGTACACATCGACCTATTTTCACTTAAAAAATAAAAGAAAATTGACAAAAATCCAATTGTTTTTACCCTTGTAAAAAGCGGAAAACAAATAAGTGAGCGATTCTGCACTTTACCAAGAATATTTTCAAAGAAAAGGCATCATTCATTATAGAAAATTACGTTTGAACAACCAACGAGATGAAAATATGTTTTAGCGATAAGTCGGTAGCAAAATAGCGATGCAGGCATCCATTCAGTTATGTTTAGCAATTTTTATATAAATTATAATAATGATTTGAAATAGTTATTTAATCTTATGCTTCCATTCAGTATGTTTTTCCTTTCTTGCCGCAATTATTTTTGGCAGCATTGGCATCAACAATAGTTTGGCGAATTTTTACAGCCCTCGAAACCGAACAGTACTGAAATTCGTAGCTGCATATAAAAATGAGGAAATTAAGTTGACATCATTTCATAGCAAAATAGTATTAGTGTTTCAAGCTTTGAGTATCATTATGAGCTCCTGAAAATGAACTTCCCGAAATTACCATTCTTTCCCAGGGAAGGTATTAATGGTGAAAAAATTCAAATTAAAAACTAGTCTGGGAGAGGAATCACCTTGTTATGGAATTAGTGAAAGAAATATTTGTAGTAAAATGCAACTTTTATCATTTTGGCTGTGACATACACAAGTCGGTATTCTTGAGCTGTGTAAATTCAGTTACCCTCTGTTGGAACATGAATGATTGAAATTTGATAAATAGTTTTCATTGTTATACTTTTTAAATATTTCTGTATGCTTAAACACATTATAACATTTTAAAAAATCGATATCAAAACGTGCAAGATATAAAACACTTTATCTGATATTTTACAACATTTATCAATGTGCGAGTTTGTATCTGTAATGTATTGTTTAAGGTTTATATGATCTGACTGGTTTAGTGGTTTTTTTTTTACGATTTAAGACATAGCCTTAACATTTTCTGGTGGTGTTCTCAGGAATAGTATCTGAGATAGCATTGTAACTTTCAGGAAATAATATGCAGCTTATTAAACTTTATTTGCTATGAAGTGATATTTTTAAAATTTGCTGAATGACTTCTGTTCTGGCTTCATCTTTAAACTTCTTATCAGAAAATATTAATTGATTCACAACAATATGTAATATAAAAAAAAAATCTGAAAAGTTTCAGATTTTAAATTACATCCAAAGGGGTGTTTTTTTAACGTTTTGTGTGTTACCTTTATTTATTAAATATCATATATAAATATTAAATATCTAGATACTCAAACCATAAAATCAGCTCAACAGAAATATCGCAAAATAATTTTAAAATGAGCATATCTAGAATTTCTGATACTGAGTCTCGCACACTGGAGATAAAAATGTTTTTTTTTTTTTTTTTTTTTTTTTTTTTTTTTTTTTTTTTTTTTTTTTTTTTTTTTACGTACAGTGTTGCCATTGCTCGCTTTGAAATCATTTAGTTTTTTAATCAAAAATTTGTTGAAGTGTTACAAAATATTAAATCAATAATAAAACAAATTTCAAATTTAAATTGTGGCTTCCACATGCCCATATTCTACGGAAGATTATGTTATTCAAATTTTGATGGCTCTAGGTACCGTTGTTTTATCACAATGCGAGAAACATAACATGCATTCATGCAGATTTTTCATTGTTTAAAATCTTTATATAGAATACAGGGCGGTAATATTTGGTGGCAACAATTTGAAAAGTGATTCGTTGTTTATAGTTTTCAACGCAAAATGCCAAAGCAAAATTAATAGTCCTTCAGGCAAATTGCCTCTTTGGACTAATTAAAAAAATGAAAACTATAGACAATGTCTAAATAATCAAGAGAAAATAGTAATTGTGATTACTGGTTGTAAATAAATACAGTGAATTATTGAATTACATTGCACTACTGAGAAGTAGAAGAACCCATTGCTTGATATGGTTAAATAATCCATGTGAAGTATTGTGTTGATGTACAAATATGTATGCACTGTAATTCATCTTACTTTTTATTTAATTATTTTTGTGATTTGTCTTTAAAATAATAACCTTTTTCTCTCTCTTGCCCCCCCCCCCCATTTTTAATCCAAAGGGGCTTCGCCCCTTAAGGACTATATCGTTTTCATTTTGTGATTTTGCATTGATTCACTACAAATGGCAAATCACTTTTCAGACTGTTGCCACAAAGTGTTATCACCCTGTGTTATAAAGAAAAAAAAATTAAATAATGAAAAATTTGCATAAATGTATGTATATTTCTCACATTGTGATAAAACAACGGTACATAGAGCCATCGAATTTTGAATGACGCAATCCTCCTGCGAATATGGGCATGTGGAAGACCAAATTTGAAATTTTGAATTTGATTTATTATCGGTTTTCTATTTTGTAAAACTTTAACGAATTTTTGATTAACAAACTCAAGGCTTTCAAAGTGAGCAATGGCAACATTGTACAGAAAAAACATTTTTATCCCCAGCATCTGAGTCTCTGTATCGGAAATTCTAAAGATATGCTCATTTTAAAACTTATATTTTGCGATATTGCTGTTGAACTGAATTTTATGGTTTAAGTGTGAAGAACGTGATATTTAATAAATAAATGTAACACACAAAATGTTTAAAAAACACTCGTTTGGATGTAATTTAAAATCTGAAACATTTCAGATTTTCTTTTCTTTTTTTTTTTTATTTTCTTGTAAATACATATATTCTGACTTTTCTCAGTGATCATGAGATTCAGCTGGTTTACACTAATTGATAGAATCACTTGTTGTTCT